CTTAGTCTTCCCCTAGGTTATTTTTGTTTGTGTTCTGGCTTTTTAAAAAATACACTAATTATATTTTCTCTCATTTCATAGATTTAACCTGAAGCCCCAAATCTTTCTTTTAATTTAAATTCAATTAGCCAACATATAGCACATCAATAGTTTTTGATATAATGTTCAATGACTCATTAGTTGCATATAACACCCAGTGCTCATCACATCACATGCCCTCCTTAATGCCCAACACTCAGTTACCCCATCCCCCCACCCACCTTTCTGCAACCCTCAGTTTGTTTCCTGGAGTCAAGAGTCTCTCATGGTTTTTCTCCCTCTCTGATTTCTTCCCATTCTGTTTTCCCTCCCTTCCCCTATTGTCCTCCATGCTATTCCTTATGTTCCACATATGAGTGAAACCGTATGATAATTGTCTTTCTCTGATTGACTTATTTCACTTAGAACACCCTCCAGTTCCACGCACATCTATGTAAATGGTAGGTAGTCACCCTTTCTGATGGCTGAGTGATATTCCATTGTATATATGAATCACATCTTCTTTATCCATTCATCTGTTGAAGGGCATCTCAGCTCCTTCCACAGTTTGGCTATTGTGGACATTGCTGCTATGAACAGTGGGGGGTACGTGCCCCTTCTTTTCACTACATCTGGATCTTTGGGGTAAATACAATTGCTGGGTCATAGGGTAGGTCTATTTTTAACATCTTGAAGAACCTCCATACTGTTTTCCAGAGTGGCTGCACCAGCTTGCGTTCCCACCAACAGTGTAAGAGGGTTTCCCTTTCTCCACATCCTCGCCAACATTTGTTGTTCCCGGTCTTGTTAATTTTAGCCATTCTGACTGGTGTGAGGTGGTATCTCATTGAGGTTTTGATTTGTATTTCCCTGATGCCAAGTGACGTTGAACATTTTTCCTGTGTCTGTTAGCCATTTGTAGGTCTTCTTTGGAGAAGTGTCTGTTCATGTCTTCTGCCCATTCTTGACTGGATTATTTGTTTTATAGGTGTTGAGGTTGCTAAGTTCTTTATAGATCTTGGATACCAGCCCTTGATCTGTTATGTCATTTGCAAATATCTTCCCATTCTGTAGGTTGCCTTTTAGTTTTGTTGACTGTTCCCTTGGCCCTGTAGAAGCTTTATATCTTGACGAAGTGCCAAAAGTTCATTTTTGCTTTTGTTTCCATGTCTTGCAAGAAGTTGCAGTGGCCGATGTCGAAGAGGTTACTGCCTGTGTGCCTATGTTCTCCTCTAGGATTTTGATGCATTCCTGTCTCACGTTTAGGTCTTTCATCCATTTTGAGTTTATCTTTGTGTATGGTGTAAGAATGGCCCAGTTTTATTCTTCTGCATGTGGCTGTCCAATATTCCTAGCACCATTTATTGAAGAGACTTTTTGTCCGGTGGATGTTTTTGAAGCCCCAAATCTTTAAATGGTTTTCTCAAGGTCACCGAGTTCATCACTGTTGGAGTTATGGGTGTGAAACTGTCTTAATTTTCCCAGGCCAGGGTTGTCCATATTATCAATGGTTTTCAAGCATTTTTTAGACAGGGAACCATGTTTTCTCTGAATGAAATCTTATGTAACCTCAGTATGTGTAACTGATAGATGCTGCATTTTATTGGTATAAAATTATTTTATGAGCTTTATGCACAGAATATACTTATAACATTAATCAAAGGGAAAAAGGAGATTTTTGAGAATTTTTGAAATTGGGGATTATAGGTGCCAACAAATCAGTCTCAGCATCCAATTTTTCTTCCTTTTATTACACAGCACTGAGAAAATCCTGACTCACTCAGAAAAGTAATTGCAAGTAACAGTTTTTAATAACTCCCCTTGCAGCCTCAGAATGCTCTTGAATCAAACCTTGCTCTCAAACCAAACTCTTGCAAAGGCTTTAAAAAAAAAAAAAACTATGCTTGGAACAAAGTTTGGGAACCGCTGCAATTAAACTATGTTCTTTTTTCATCTTTTATGCCTTCCTCCCATTTATTTTATTTGGTTCAATACCAGAAGTCATCATCAAAAAACTAAATGTTGACTGAGGATGGTTTAGGAAAAAAAGGAATCTGTTGGAGAATGGAAAAGAGGAAAGGGAAAGAAAAAGAGTTTAGTTTCTGCTCTAGTGCAACGGATTGAACATTAATTCAGCAAATGGGCAGTTTGCCAAACGTCCAATTAATCAAATTAACTGATTTATAAAAAAAAAACTTGTTTCTTATGACTATACAGTTCAGAGCATTTTTTTTATTGGATGTCATGCTTTTAACAGCCTTTTGAAGACTTTGGCTAAATTTGATGTGAGTGGTTTTCATTTTGCCTTCAAAGCAGCATTTTAAGCAAAGTACATTGCACTTTGCTCCACCAACCTACAACTCCACAACAGGGAGGGAGGGCTCACGCCTGCAAAAAATCACTTCTGGGCTGCCCACCGCAGAGAAGGGTTGCTAACTGACAGAGAACAAGGAGACTGTGTAAGGCGCAGATGGAGAAAAGGCAAGAGGCAGAGAACGTGAGGAGCCTGAGGACTGAGTGCCAGAGTGAGCGAAGAACAAAAGGGAGAGACAGAGAAAAGTCAAGGACAAGGAGGGGAAGCAGAATCCAAAGGCCCCAGAACCCAGGCAAGTCCTGGCTGTTCACTGCCATCCCTGCCAATTCCTCAAGTACGAATGGCTGTAACCTCAGTAACAAATCAGGTTTAGGAAATTGTTAAATTTGCAGACTATACGACATGCATTTCCACAATACTTAGAGAAAAGGTACTGTCAAATCCCCAAACACAAAATACAGACAATATACACAACAGGAAGTGTGTAAATTAGGCCTGTAATGAGAAAGCAACTTTGCCACAGTTGTAAGTCAAGGCAAACCTTGGACTCAAACCCAGAACTTCTGATTTGAAGACTTAATGCCTTTCCTACTGTTCTATATAGCCTTTTAAGGTGACTATTGCCATCTGGACACTTACCTTCATATGCTTTTAGGGATTTCTCCCCAAAGTAAGACCAAAGTAAAGCAAAACCAAATTACAGCACCCAAGTTAATGACTAAATAGGCTAGAGCTTAAATCAGCCCAAAAGACATTACCTTTTATAAAAATGAAGTCTTTCTTAAAGATAAATCTAGTCATCAGGTTTTTGGACACTTTTGTTGAAACAAGCCTAATTTTTAGAGGTTTAGAGATGGTTATGCTTTTTCCCATTCTTTGAAGAGTTCCTGTAAATGAGACATGCAGCCATTTTCTAAAAATGATAAATTGGCCTGTTCAAAGTCACCCAGAATCCTATTCCTCATGTCTATTTCTCCTCTCACACTGTATCACTTCCTGGAAGTATTAATAGTTGCATTTCATTTTCCTATCTAAATATTTAAGGACTGTAATTCTGCCCAGTTGACATTGGCAGTGCCTATGCACAGCGATGTTTCATTATCTGCTCCTCGTATCAACATAATCTTGTCAAACTTTGTTTCCAATAAATAGGGCAGGCTGTATTTGGAATATTTTAATAACCGAGCACAGTCATATTGCTTTCAATCATGGCCTGCTTACAAATCCCCAGCTAAGAGGTGCAGTTCCATGGAACAATAACCCGTGAGCAGTGTGCCAATATATTTTCATTAGTCAATGACACCCAGCTGCAGAGAGAAATTAGGCTGTGTCCTTTAAAACTCATCGTTCCCTTGTGGCAGAACCACAGCAGGCCAGATTGGCTTCACCAAACCTTCCTGCCATTGTTCAGCAAATGCTCCAGCTGGGTTGTGTTCATCATAAACCCTAAGTCTGCAATTTTTCAATTCCATATTAGGCTCAGATTCAAAGCCTATTGTTCTGACGTTATTGAGAAGGCAGACAAGGAGAAGGTCATTGAGTAGCTATTGTTTAAAGCACTTCTTCTCACCAGATTATTCTGGGTCATTTGGAACACTAATTTATCTATGGAAACTTTGGATACAATCATTGGTTCTCGATTTTTCCCTAGTCTTTTAAGTCCTTAACAACACTCTAAGAGGGAAGTCATTTTTCAGACTTTCCAGATCAAAGTAGCCCAGACGGGGACACTGGAAAGGAAGTTAACACTTCAGATGGAAGCAAATTCTGAACCTATGTTTTCAGCTTTGTCTTACCACCACTTTCCTTTCTGCTCTTTCATCAATCATCTTAAAAGCTAAGGTATTGAATCCACGCTTTTCCATGGTAGACAGATTGCCATTTGGACTTGTAGAAAACCAACATCCCAGCTGTCTGCTTTTTTCCCCACCTCTCACTGTTCTATGTAGGCCTCTTCCCACGGTCACCCTACACCTCCTAGTTCCATACATGGAAGGAGAGCATGATGGCTCCAGGGCCCGTTCTGCAAGTGCACCCCAGGGACACTACCAGGTGGGGCGCAAACCGGTTGCAGGCAATGGGGCCATCTAGCTTCTGAGGATGGAGGCTATTCTTAGGCATGGTTTTCAGCCACTCCACAGAGGCTGCAAACCAGTCACAACTAACTCCCCAAGCTTTCTGAGGATTTCTCTAGGCTGATGAGGTCAGTACTTGGTGCTGGGTTCACAGCTTCTCTGGTGGTGTTTTCTTAACCTTGGCTGCACACTGGAACATCCAATTTTTTCCAAATACTGATGCCTGGGCCTCTCACCCAGAAGTTCTGATCTAAGTGCTCTGGGGATAAATTTGGACATGGATTTTCTTTTGAATGTTCCCCAGATGACTTTAATGGGTAGTCAAGTTCAGGAAACACTGCTCAGAGGCATTTGTGCAAACTGGAACTGAACACAGCCAAGGCTTCCTCCCTTAATTACTTACCTATTTTTTGACAATACTTTAATCAACTACACAGGACTCAGAATTCTCAGCCAAAAAAATGAGAAAATGGGCTGCATACCTGTCCAGGGTTCACATCACCCTGAAGTCTCACCATGGAGGTGTTTTTCAGCTTGGGTCATCCCTGGTCGATCCAACTCAAAGAGCTACAAGAATGGCAACAGGCGCGCCTCAGGCCGCCATTTCTTGGCGTCTCCAGAGGAGTCGCCCCCTACTCAGTCACGCTCGGGACCTCTACCCTCGCGTCGCCGGCTCTCCGCGCCGCCTTAGCCACCGCGCCTCCGTCCCCAGCCCAGTGACAAAAATGCTGAGCTTCTTCTGTAGAACACTTGGGCGTCGGTCAATGCGTAAACATGCTGAGAAGGAACGACTCCGAGAAGCTCAGCGAGCTGCCACACACATTCCTGCTGCTGGAGACTCTAAGTCCATCATCACGTGTCGGGTGTCTCTTCTGGATGGTACTGATGTTAGTGTGGACTTGCCGCTCTTTGATCAGATAATGTACCATTTGGACCTTATTGAAAGTGACTATTTTGGACTGAGATTTATGGATTCTGCACAAGTAGCACACTGGCTAGATGGTACCAAGAGCATCAAAAAGCAAGTAAAAATTGGCTCACCCTATTGTCTGCATCTTCGAGTTAAATTTTATTCCTCAGAACCAAATAATCTTCGTGAAGAGCTAACACGGTATTTATTTGTTCTTCAGTTAAAACAAGATATTCTCAGTGGAAAATTAGAGTGTCCCTTTGATACAGCAGTTCAGTTGGCAGCTTATAATCTGCAAGCTGAACTTGGTGACTATGATCTTGCTGAGCATAGTCCTGAACTTGTATCTGAGTTCAGGTTCGTGCCGATTCAGACTGAAGAGATGGAGCTGGCTATTTTTGAGAAATGGAAGGAATACAGAGGTCAAACACCAGCACAAGCTGAAACCAATTACTTGAATAAAGCCAAATGGTTAGAAATGTATGGGGTTGATATGCATGTGGTCAAGGCTAGAGATGGGAATGACTATAGCTTGGGACTGACTCCAACAGGAGTCCTTGTTTTTGAAGGAGAGACCAAAATTGGCTTATTTTTTTGGCCCAAGATAACCAGATTGGATTTTAAGAAGAATAAATTAACCCTGGTGGTTGTAGAAGATGATGATCAGGGCAAAGAGCAGGAACATACATTTGTCTTTCGACTGGATCATCCAAAAGCATGCAAACATTTATGGAAATGTGCTGTGGAACATCATGCAT